GTGAACATGTGAACTATATTGCTCGACCTCAGACTTGCCTCAGATGAGTAAAAGACGAGATCATCCATGGGTATCCGACGATGATATACTATACATTAAAAATCTAAGCTAATTTACGATCGTACCCCTTCAAAAAACAACAGATTACCTTTTTTCCTTAGTACATAATATACGACCCCCCCCCCCCAAAAAAAAAAAAAACCTGAAATTGATACCTACGATGCACAAAACTGATGCGAGTGAAGTCTGTCCTATCTTTTGAATTAAGTTTTTAATTCAAGCTGTAAATCAATCTGAATTTTTTCCTCTATTTTAAAATGCTACGATAGAAACCCCGATCTTATTAATAACTGCAAATGTTATTTTTACAATTTACAAATATATGGAGAAATAAATCGAGATACAGCGCACTTTTTGTGTGCAATAAATATACTTTTTTCAATGGGTGGCACTGTAGCTCTCTGGTCGTTCGTCCCAATTTCTTTTTTCAGACCAGCAAACTACAGATCTGCAGCTACATAATAATTGAAGATGTCTTTTTGCAATGTATTAAAAACATGGATTTAAAGAATGGACAAGAATATCCGAAAGAAGGCGGAGGACAATCTGCATGCAATCAAAACATGTTTGATGCTCTTTCACTGGCGAATCCGGAAAGGGGGGTTCTTGGGTTTAGAACCCCTCTTTTTCTTGACCATCTGTGTAGTGTTTCGAATATAATATCCTTATAAGTATTTCATATGTTCTATTCATTGAGCTTAATTATTGAATTATTGATATTAAATATTAAAAGAATACCTACATGTAGTATTGAGTAAATCACATACTGTTTTTGTATCGAATTGTCCTACGGATTTTTTTTTTATAAAAGCAAGCAGACTTGCCAGCAGTTGCCAGATAACAGTAACATCACGTCACGTAACGATTTCAGACATCATTTTAAAGGTACGAAAGAGGAGAAGCAAACTAGATCATGAATTTGTTTTCAAAGTGCTTTAAATCTTGAAAAAAAAATCTCTTTTCACAAAGTGCGTTAATATCGACCATTTTAACGCACTTTGAAAAAAAATGTTCACGGCTTGGTCAATATTCTTGCAAATTTTAGGTATGATAGATAATTAATTGAATCTGGTTGGATGACTTTTCGGTGATGACGTCACTTAAGAATCTGAGATTTAAACGTTTTAAAGATTTTAAGGGGTTTTCTTGCTCCCAAAGGTTCTCGTAAATGTTATGAAAGGGAAATGGGTCTTTTGGAAATGATGGAAGAATGATTGTTTAATAGCACGTTTCGTTCCTTTTTTTTATTATTATTATTTTATCCAGTCTGTAATTAGTTCGGTAGACGTAGGGGTCGATATGTGACTATTTTAGGGAAAAGGGAGCAATTATGATTTTTCCGTACCATGAAAGTTCTCTCTGCGTTAAATCTGGGACCAAGTTAACGCACTTTGAAAAAAAAATACCTCTTTTCAAAGTGCGTTAATATCGACCATTTTAACGCACTTTGAAAAAAAATGTTTACGGCTTGGTCAATATTCTTGCAAATTTTAGGTATGATAAATAATTATTTGAATCTGGTTCGATAACTTTTCGGTGATTACGTCACTTCAGAATCTGAGATTTAGACGTTTTAAAGATTTTTAGGGGTTGTCTTGCCTCATAAGGTTCTCGTACAACGTAAATGTTATGAAAGGGAAATGGGTCTTTTGGAAATGATGGAAGAATCATTGTTTAATAGCAGGTTCCCTTACTTTTTTTTTTATTTTATCCAGTCTGTAATTAGTTCGGTAGATGTAGGGGTCGATATGTGACTTAAAGCATCGCATTTTTCTTAAGGAAAAGAGAGCAATTATGATTTTTCCGTACCATGAAAATTCTCTCTCTCATCATTTATCTATCTATTCAATCTATCATATTCATCTATCTATCTATTGTGAACATATATGAAACAATGATTGACTCATTTCTTTGATAGTAATAAGAAAAATAAACCTGAGCAACATTACTCACTCGAATGAAATTTTTACCTCGTTCACTAATAACTTTCTTCTCAAACAAATCTTGTAAACAAAAGTTATGCACTCAGATTACTTCTGATATCATTTGAGATCATTAAATGACTAATCATGTCAAATAGATTGCTTTAATTACCCTATAAATGCTCTTTTTAATTGTGTTTGAATTTTTAAAGCTTGGCATTTGGCTATATAGTATAGTCAGTTCACTCGGCTATTGTTGCTTAAATCAGTGATATGTCCCCTGAGCCTATCTTCTTTAATATATATGGGTGCCTTATTATTTTTTATGTCCCCGTAATCGAAGATTAGGGGGCATATAGTTTTTGCCCTGTCCATCTGTATGTCTGTCTAGCTGTCTGTTTGTCCGCAAAATCTTTAACCTTCACCATAACTTTTGATTGCTTGGAGCTATGGCTTTCATATTTCACATGAGTATTCCTTGTGACAAGACCTTTCTTTGGGTACCATCATATTTGACCTTGACCTTGGAGTTTGACCCAGTTTTGCAAAATTTTACCCAACATTAGGTTTGGCCATAACTTTTGAACAGTTGGTGCTAGGGCTTTCATACTCCACATATGTTATCCTTGTGACAAGTCTGTCCTTTGGATACCAAGAACTTTTTAACAATTTGTGCTAGGTTTTTCATACTTTACATATGTAATCCTTATGACAAGACCTTCCTTTGGATACCAAGAACCTTGACACTTTGACCTTGACCTTCTTTTGGAAAAATTTAACCTTGGCCATTTCTTTTGATTAGTTGGTGATAGGGCTTTCACACTTCATATGTAATCCTTGTGACAAGTTCTTACTTTGGATACCAACAACTTTGACCTTGACCTTGGAGTTTGACCTACTTTTGAAAAACTTTCACCTTGGCCATAACTTTTGAATGGTTGGTGCTAGGGCTTTCATATTTCACAAGTGTTTTTCTTGTGAGAGGACCTTTCCTTGAGCATCATTAATTTTGACCATTTGACCATGATGTTTGACTCACTCTTGAAAACCTTTAAGCTTTTCCATATCTTTTCAATGGATGCTGTTAGGGTTTTCATATTTCACAGTTACATTCTTCGAGACAAGTCCTTACTTTGGGTACCAACATATTTGATTTGCATATGAGAAAGTTTAACCTTTGCTATAAGTTGCCATACGGGGGCATCAGTGTTTTACAAACATATCTTTTTTTTTTCAGGAAAGCTTATCTCAATTTTTTCATCTATTTTACGTTAACTCAAATTTATTGAGAGAAAGTATATGAATGCCACACCGATTATATCAATACATACATATATTTAGGTAGGAAAGATAAAAAGTTGGGCTGAGGGACCTTCTACCTGTTTTTCCTCGTTCTCGATGAGGGTAGATCAATTCATCAGTTTTTCGAAAGAAATAACAAAATAATTCTGTCTATTACTAAAATCTAAGTCCAGAATTTTTGCTTTATACGTATTTTTTTTCAAAGTGCGTTAAGTGTCTCCATGGTAAAAAGTGTTGATGTACACTCTTAATGCACATTGAAAAAAAAAATTTCGAAGTGCGTTGATTTTGTCCCAAATTTAACGCACTTTGAAAAAAAAATTTTCAAAGTGCGTTGTCACATAGCTTTTTACTAGTATATCTAACTAAGATAGTATCCCTTGTTGTCAAATCGACACTAAAACATGAGACGTAATGGGAATGTCGTATTGTAAGTTGTCATCTATTGTAAGTTTTGCATTTACTACCACCCAGTAAATTCAAAACTTACAATATGAGATTTATTCATGTTTTGGCTTGATCTTGGCTTTTATTTCATTTTCACCCCTAGGACAGGTATGCTATAAAACATTTCTAACTGTAATACCTTTCTAATTGTTCAAATCTTCATTATTCAAATTAGGAAATTCCAAAGAACAAATTAAGATATAAATGCAAAGGAGCCTTCATGTGACAAAATCTGATGTTTTCACCTTCTTTTTTATTACCTCGAAATAAAGTTGACATTCAGCTGGAAATTATGAGACCTTGGACATAAACACAAGACTTTGTACAAATTTTGATGTTATTTTCCCTTATTTACAAATTTCTGTATAATACCTCCTTATTAGTTCCGTTTAATATTCATTTCGTGTGACTTGGTGTTCATGTCATAGACTAAGTATATATGAGTGGATTTTATGTATATATTTGAAGTGTATACTAGTATTCATGGAGGCTAGCTATTCATTTTTTAGGACATTTTGTTTAAAAAAAATGTCAAATTCTTTATTTTAATTTATCTGTCTTTTGAACATTATTAGTTCTTTGAAATAAAAAAAGAAATAATCATGCTTTTCTTTCTTTCGACTAACAATATTAAGAATTAAACAGGCACGTAGAGTCAGAAAAAGGGGAGAGGGGCTCCCCTTACTTTTTCCCGAATTAATCCTTCCCTGTTAATTTAGTATGAAAATGCTTATATATTGAAAGGCTGATTCCCCCCCCCCCTTTTTGTTGTTGCAATATTATAAAAATATTACATTTTTGGGGTAATATTTCAGTGTTATCTGGTGAAAACCATAGTTGACTTCCGATTATAAGGTTCTGAAGCTAGCACTTTTAACAGATAATAGGGTAACTCCATTAGTAAATTTATTTGCTGACGTGTTGTTCTATGATATATAGAATTGAAACTTTACTAATTTATTTATCAAAACATTGGATTCATTAATTAATTTAGAATACTACTTCCGTAATCTATTACATGTCCGGGTTTGAAAAGTTTAATGCAACAACAATTCAATAATTGCAGTGAATCCCAGCTTCCTTGTAATGGATTGGGGTATCTAAATATAAATGTTCTGATCATCCTCTCTCTCTCTCTCTCTCTCTCTCTCTCTCTCTCTCTCTCTATTCTTCCCATTGCCCTTACAAAGCATGATGAGCGATCTGTCATACATGTGACCCGCGGTTAGATGTTATAATATTAAAAATTATGCTGGAAAAATGTCCTACCTGGAATTGCTAGAGAAGTGAGTGGATTCGATATTAATGGTGTTGGCAATAAGGCCATCCAATCCGCAAGGCCAGACGCAGCAGATCCAAGTTTCCTGTAACTGGCCATTAAAATGTCATTTAGCACACATAGAGCCCTCTTGAGTTATCGACTCATTTTGATACACGGAGAAGCTGACTTTTTCAGAGAAGTGGAAAATCCTGTCATAGCGACATCAAGCGCTGCCTTCCGCTGTTTGATAAACTTTCACTTGAACAACCGATGTAAGCTCTACTGTACTGTATGTCATACGTTAGGAAACGCCACTGAACTAAACACCCGTGGTTTTTACATTTCCTCTATGCAAAGTACTAAAAACATGGATGCAAACCACGTGATGTAAAAATTGGCAAGAATCTGAAATATGATGGTGTAAAAACTCCATGGCAAACAAAACATATGCATAAAGTGTTCCTATCACTTACATGTATTAAGGTATATTGCCGTTTTATATGATGGACTACAATATGACTACAATATTAAAGTTTCTGGTATGATGATAATTTAAACAAAAAGCTCACCTACATGTACGTCCCATTTCACTTTTTAAGAAATGATTTCGAAGACCCGCGGGCCCCATTATTGTGGTCATAACCATTAAAACTCACTGTTTCAACAATTTTTATTCTATAATACATGTAATCTGATAGATTGTATTAATTTTAAAAATCAGTGCTCTGTTTCTTTTATGGAAGTTTGCTTATTCCTTTGTGTACTTTTTTTTGTTTTCAACAATTAAGGACCCTCTCTACACTGCACACTAAAGAGTTCTGCTTTTGTGGTATTTTTATGGAGTTGGAGTAATCTGCCCCTAGAGCTAAAATCAATGAATTAAAATATGCAGTGCATTACTCAATTTGTAATCAATTCAAGCATTCTTAACATTTTAATAGGCCAAGATAAATTAATTATGAATTGAACACTTTATTAGCATGTATTTTCCCCAAACAAATAAATAACAGTGATTTCTTTTTATCAATACTTTGCAGTCTTTGAAAATTTTCCTGAGGGTAAACGCCAGGTACCTTATGTTGAAATTGGGATAGATAAGCTTAATATTTACAAAAAAAAAAAAAAAAAAAAAAAAAAAAAAAAAAAAAAACATTTCGCTTTAATATGGAATTCCATATACGACAGCCAACTGCTTACTGCCAACTGCTTACTGCTTACTGCCAACTGCTCACTGCTTACTGCCAACTGCCACACATATTTGAATAAATTTTCTTATTTATATTGATATTTATGTGAATTTTCATAAAACCAGGCGCGGATCCAGGATTTTTTTTTACAGGAGGGGCCCGCCCCAGTAAAAAAAATCCAACCCAGAAATTTCTTGACAAAAAAAAACAAAAACAAAAAAATGTAAACTCCTCTCCTAAACGTGAAAAACCTATTTCGGCGGGAGGGGGGGGGGGAGGGAGGGGGATTGACATCTTATGCTTCATATCTATGACTTTTCATATCAACTTAACACGGATCCGCGTTTTCTAGGGGTGGGTGGGTTTCCAACGTCACTTTTAGTTGGTTTAGTATAGGTCTATACATTAAATAACTCTACGAATTCCAGGGGGTGGTCCGGACCCCCCCCCTTCCCAACGACCCCCCCCCCCCTTTAGATCTATGTATGTAAAACATAACTTATTTGGGAAAACAAAGAGATATAAATCTTTAATTTGAAAAAATATTTCACTATAGAAATTAACGGAAAATGGAAATTTATTTTCAAAACATCTTCCCCCGCGAAACAACAGATCCTTTTTTCAGTTTTTATTCATTCCAAAGGTTTTGTTGTCTCACGGGGGGGGGGGGGGGGGGCACGTGTTTAAAGATTAAAAACAGGAAAATAGTCATTTTATTACCAATTTTAAATGAGATCACAAATAAATAATGTACTTTATCACTTTATCATGTCTCATATGTTAAATTTTACATAAGTTAAAACATACGGTGAGATTCAAGAGTCATTTATCCGTTATCATTTTCATGAGTATTTGAAAATGGTGACGTTTTCAGCCTGATTTCAATTAATAAAATTTTCTACCCCCTTATGAAAGGAGTTGTAAATAAGAGCAATCAACTTTTTGTCACTGGTGTTTAAAATTAGTACTTAATACTAATGAACTTTTCTTTGCATTCAAACAAGTTTTTATGTCAAAATTGCCATTTATATTGAATTAAATGGATGGAAAATGTAGACGGGAATCGAGAGTTGGTGTGCGTAGTTCTTACAATAATAACAAAATTTGGCGGATTTAGGAATTTTTAAACTGTAAAGGCGAGGAAGGAGTAAATCGGAAGAAGGGGTGTTTCCTCTTAAAAACAAAACATTTAATTTCTGCATTTCGTTGCAGGCAAATAATTTGATAGCTTTTTTGACGCGGGTAAGAGGGGGGGGGGGGGGTCACATACGACAAAAGAACAAACTTTTAAAAGGGTCTTGAGTAACATTTGTTGGTATATGTATTTATAATAGAAATATTACTGAAAGTTATAATAACAAATAACTTTTGCCTAGTTTAAAACATCGAGTAATAACTTTTGGATTTTCTTTTTACCCTAGGAAAAGTACCTATGAGTGGGAATTTTTATATGTGTCTTACGTAAATCGTTTTAATGGCTAATGTTCGATCTGTTAGATCTGTAAAAACATTCGTGGTGGTGGTGGGGAGGGGGGTGTAACCACTAAATTTCCAACATATACTATATACAGTAGTTCTCCCTTACGGAAGCGTATTAGTGCCACGTAATGTTTTTTTTAAAGTTGGTAATTCCAACTTTAAAGTTGGAATAACCAACATTAAAGTTGGAAAAGCCAACTTCAAAGTTGGAAAAGCCAAATCTTGGCTTTTCCAACTTTAAAAGTTGGAAAAGCCAACTTTAAAGTTGGAATTTTCAACTTTAAAGTTGGAATTACCAACTTTAAAGTTGGAAAGGCAACTTTAAGGTTGGAAAAGCCAAGATTAAAGTTGGAATTACCAACTTTAAAGTTGGAAAAGCCAAGATTAAAGTTGGAATTACCAACTTTAAAGTTGGAAAAGCCAACTTTAAAGTTGGAATTTTCAACTTTAAAGTTGGAATTTCCAACTTTAAAGTTGGAATTACCAACTTTAATAAAAAAAAAATTACGTGGCACTAATACGCTTCCGTAAGGGAGAACTACTGTATATAGTATATGTTGGAAATTTAGTGTTTACGCCCCCCCCCCCCAAACCACCACCACCACGAATGTTTTTTATAGATCTAACAGGTCAAACATTAGCCATTAAAACGATTTAAATAAGACACATATAAATATTCCCACACATAGGTACTTTTCCTAGGGTAAAAAAAAAATCCAAAAGTTATTACTCGATGTTTTAAACTAGGCAAAAGTTATTTGTTATTATAACTTTCAGTAATATTTCTATTATAAATACATATACCAACAAATGTTACTCAAGACCCTTTTAAAAGTTTGTTCTTTTGTCGTATGTGACCCCCCCCCCCCCCTTACCCGCGTCAAAAAAAGCTATCAAATTATTTGCCTGCAACGAAATGCAGAAATTAAATGTTTTGTTTTTAAGAGGAAACACCCCTTCTTCCGATTTACTCCTTCCTCGCCTTTACAGTTTAAAAATTCCTAAATCCGCCAAATTTTATTATTATTGTAAGAACTACGCACACCATCTCTCGATTCCCGCTTCATGAAAATGGATAAATGACTCTTAAATCTAACCGTTTGTTTTAACTTTTGTAAGATTTAACATATGAGACATGATAAAGTGATAAAGTACATTTTTTATTTGTTATCTCATTTGAAATTGGTAATAAAATGACTATTTTCCTGTTTTTAATCTTCAAAAACACGTGCCCCCCCCCCTCTCCGTGAGACAACAAAACCTTTAGAATGAATAAAAACTGAAAAAAGGATCTGTTGTTTCGCGGGGAAGATGTTTTGAAAATGAATATCCATTTTCCGTTAATTTCTATAGTGAAATATTTTCTCAAATTAAAGATCTATATTTCTTTGTTTTCCCAAATAAGTTATGTTTTACATACACGGATCTAGAGGGGGGGGGGTCGGTGGGAGGGGGGGGTGTCCAGACCACCCCCTGGAATTTGTAGAGTTATTTAATGTATATACTAAACCAACTAAAAGCCACGGTGACCTTGGACCCCTCCCCCTCCTAGAAAACGTGGATCCGTGTTAAGTTGATATGAAAAGTCATAGATATGAAGCATAAGATGTCAACCCCTCCCCTTCCCCCGCCGAAATAGGTTTTTTACGTTTAGGAAAGGAGTTTACGTTTTTGTTTGTTTGTTTGTTTGTTTTGTTTTGTTTTGTTTTGTTTTTGTCAAGAAATTTCTGTGTTGGATTTTTTTTTATTGGGGTGGACACCTCCTGTAAAAAAAATCCTGGATCCGCGCCTGGTTTTATGAAAATTCAAAATATATCAATATAAATATGAAAATTTATTCAAATATTTGTGGCAGTTGGCAGTAAGCAGTGAGCAGTTGGCAGTAAGCAGTGAGCAGTAAGCAGTTGGCTGTCGTATATGGAATTCCATACTTTAATGTAAAAAGGTCCTTCAAGAAAACAATAACTTGAATCTATAAAAACAAAAACAAAAACAAAAAAAAAAAAAACAAAAAAAAAAAGGCTGCATGTTTAGGTGGCCCTGCTGTTCTTGAGAGGAATCTTTTCTATACATAAGCTGTGTTACAACGCGAAATGTAATAACAACGCGAAATGTAATAAACTGGGATTATAACATTTTGCGTTATTGCATTTTGCGTCGAGATCAACGCAAAATGCAATAACGCAAAATGTAATAACTCATTTTTTTGATTATTACATTTTGCGTTATTACATTTCGCGTCGAGATCAACGCAAAATGTAATAACGCAAAATGTTATAACAGAGAATAAGGTTTATTACATATTGCGTTATTACATTTTGCGGTGATCTCAACGCAAAATGTAATAACGTACATTTTGATTGTTACATTTTGCGTTATTTCATTTTTGCGCTGAGAGCAACGCAAAATGTAATAAAAGCAAAAAGTATGAATACAAAATGCTATGTTTTATTTGCTTGGTTTTGAAAACGAAACGTTATGAAATAAGATTTAAACATATATT